GAACTAAACAACATCTCAGGTCATATCAGCAGAGACTAGTGAGCACAGTTATAGCCTTATGGATCTTTGCATGAGGAAACACCATCAACAGTAGCACCAGAAGATGAGCTCAGAGAGCAAAAATTTTAATTATCTATGGAAGTTGTTTGGCTCATTTTCTAGACGCCGAGGCAAATGGCAAAGAAACTGTTTGACAGACAGCCATCATGCCATACTTCCTAGCACTGCCCCTTGAGCTATTTTCATTCCCTTATTAGTCACTTTATTTGACTTACTTTGTGTTATGCTTGCAGAGTAACATCTGTGTTTACATCAGGGAATGTGTAACACAGGCACAGAATAGAAATAACTAAATAAAGATCCAGAATCACAGTCTGATGTGGCATTGAACAGCAAAGAGGGGGCCAAGCAGTATGAATGACAGTTACAAAATGGATAAATACACTGAAATCAAAATAAAGGCCAACTTTGTGAAAAAAGGAAACACTCTCTACTAGTACAACTACTACCCAATTACATGTATGTGTCTAGCATGAACTGAAGTTATCAAAGAAGGTTCCATACCTGTGTTAAAGAGTCTACAAGACCAACATTGACAGCTGGAGTGTTGCAGAACCAAAAAGAGCCAAATTACCTAGTGCTGTTTACTCCCTTAGTAACCTTTCAACACTTACCTCTAGCTAGGTCTGACCTATCATTATCATGACTATTGGGCAAAAACTTTGGGATGTACTACTAGCTTACTACAGCACCAGCTTCCACCAACCTAGAGACTAAGTATGTCATCAGATAATCTGTGACAGAGATTTCCTCAAGTTGACATAATCCACCCATTGGATGATTTTACCAATGTGTTGGAAAAGTGCTTTGGTGGATGGCTTCTTGTTCTACAACTGAAAAACTCATTACAATTTTTCACATTGGCACATGGTATTGGGGCCAACCTTAAAATTTTTCTTTTTTGTTTTTGTTTTGTGGCAGGGTCTCTCTATATAGACCTGGCTAGCCTAGAACTCAGAGATCTACCTGGCTCTGTCTCTCAAGCGTGTGTGCCACCCAACGTGCCTCAAAACAAACTATTTTCTATTCCCTTTTGAGGTGAAAGCTGTGTTTTGAGTTCATAAACATGTGTCCATCTCCAAATGTATGTGCTTATTTGGGAAAACAAGGAGGGCAAATAAGAAATGGCCCTGACACAGACTCACTCCCTTTTAACCCTGCCCATCCTGAAATTCCTCCCATACGAAGGTGCTACGATGTGAAATGAGACTCACTGAGAATTGGCATTATATTATCATACCATAATAATAGTATACTATCATTTCCTAAACTTTTTCAAACAATGTCACGATTGCTTTGCCTCTTTATCAACAGTAGATAACTTCAGATCTAAGTTTTATGTAGCTGGCCCAGAGAGAAATATGCCTCCACAATTGCCACAGAGCACTAAAAGAGACCTTTAAACTATTTTGTCTTTTTATAATATTAAACTAGGTAACCCTTCCTCAACATGAAGTCATCAATAAAACATTGGATTGAGTTGACCATGCAAAACTTCAATGTTTTATATTATACAAATGAGCTGCAAGTCAATGTGCTTTAAAAACAACAAATAGGGTAATAAGTGATTCAAAATTCATAGCATAAATTTTAATTGATTTTAGAATTCCAGTTTTAGTGAGACTTTTCATCATTTCCCTTGGGTGTTGTTATGCCCCCCTCCTACTTTTAACTTTTATTTTCTGTGTGTGGATTCTTTTGTCTGCATGTATGTCTTGCACCATATGAATGCAATGCTTGGGGAGATCAGGGGTGAGTGTCAACTCTTCTGAGACTAGAGACATAGATGCTTGTAAGCTACCATGTGTGTTTGAGGAATTGAACTTAGGCCCTCTAGAAGAGCAGTCATTGCTCTTCACTGCTGGGTCATTCTCCAGCCCTGTTACATTCTCTTTTAAAAGCTTCACAAAATCAGTGGTACCAAGAATAATTGCCCTGGGAATGTGTAGAAAGAATGGATGTTCCTCACTATTTGAGCACCATCAAAAAGAAGAAGGAGGAGGGCAGAGAGAGAGAGAGAATAGAGAACAGGAGAAGAAGAAGAGGAAGATGAGGAGGAAAAGTAACAAAATTATAATCAAAGAAAGTGGGCAGTAAAGCATGCAGTAGAGGTGAAACTAGAGAGAAAATGGTGATAGCTCCATGGTTCAGATCAGCATTTGTGGACTGGATTTAAACAAAGAAAAAAGCCTTAACCAATGATGACTGGGAGGAAAGACAGATGAGTGTGCTGTAGGAAAGCCTGGAAATAGGCTCAAAGTCACATGGAATCATTCCACTTGTGTAACTCAAGATCCCAGGCTGAGAAAACTAGTCAGTTATTGGTGGAGAAAAGCCTAGAACATCCAGATAATGAGAGTATCAATAATCTAAGACCGTGAACCACTGAAGGGCTGTAGAGAGGGAGGTGCTAAATCACAGTCACAATTTCACCAATTTCAGAAGATTAAAGCACACATGGGTGGCCATCTTGCCAACTCTCTATGCTATTTAACATATAGCGCAAAATTGTTTCTAGACAGTGGCCAAATGCAAAGTGCCATCAAAGTTAGTAGTGCCCACTTCTCTTTTATTCCACTTGTCAATTCTGTTTGTCCTAAGCAAACTAATGACAACAACAACATCAAAAAAATCACTCATCCTAGTGATCCATTAATATTCAGTGTCAAAAACACATTGTAAATCTAAGGTAGCTGTGATCACACACACAAAACGAGATCTTCCTAGAATCGTCCAAAAGAGTATCTGATTGCCATTTGGCCCATTCCTTGAGATTACAAATTCATGGAAACTAAAATCAGCATCGTAATGACTCAAGCTGAGATGACAAGCCCACCCCCACACAGCATTTTATTGATTACCAACTGAAGTTTTCATCAGAGTATTGTCAGATCAATAGCTTTGCATTTTAAGGCTTAAAATGAATATGCATTCTTTATCTTTTTCTCAGTCTCTCAATACACACACACACACACACACACACACCAGTGAACTCATATATATCTTGCCACATAAATATGGCATCTCAATAATTTAATTTCCTTTCAAACTATACTAAACTTCAAAAGAAATTTATATTTCTACCTCTCCTCATCTAATCACACCAAGGGGAAAAGAAAACACCCTGCTGACATTGAACTATTCTAATATATTATTACTTGATATCAAATTAGAATTTTATTGTCCTTTCAGCAGGAATATAACAAAAAGATTTCATGTGGAAATGAAAAATGTATAAAAGATGAAGTAGAAACAAAATTAATTAACAGAAATACCCAAGTAAGGAACATTAAAATTGCATTTTAAGAAAACTTAATAGATATCTGTTAAGATATACTACTGAAATAAAATGTGAATTTGACTTCTTAGCTCCATTTTAACCACTTACTCACACAAAGTAAAACTGTAGAAATAAAAAGTTTCATATTCTAGCCATCAAAAAGGAAACCTCAGTGTGCACTGTCCTTGTTTCACATAATCTACACAAATTTTGGAGGTGTGGATGTGTATGTATTGACAGGGTGTGTGTGTGTGTGTGTGTGTGTGTGTGTGTGTGTGTGTGTGTGTATGTGTGTCTGTGTGTCTGTGTGTGTGTGTCTGTGTGTGTGTGTCTGTGTGTGTGTGTCTGTGTGTGTGTCTGTGTGTGTGTATCTGTGTGTGTCTGTGTGTGTGTGTCTGTGTGTGTGTCTGTCTGTCTGTGTGTGTCTGTGTGTGTGTCTGTGTGTGTCTGTGTGTGTGTCTGTGTGTGTGTCTGTCTGTCTGTGTGTGTCTGTGTGTGTGTCTGTGTGTGTCTGTGTGTGTGTGTCTGTGTGTGTGTCTGTGTGTGTCTGTGTGTGTGTGTCTGTGTGTGTGTCTGTCTGTCTGTGTGTGTCTGTGTGTGTGTCTGTGTGTGTCTGTGTGTGTGTATGTGTTTGTGTGTGTGTGTCTGTGTGTGTGTGTGTTTCTGTGTAGGTGCACACATGCACAGCAGCAAAGGGCTCTCAGGTGTCCTGCTCTGTCACTCCCCCCCCCTTAGTCTCCTGAAACAGGCTCTCTTACTGAACCTGTGGCTCACTATTTTAGTTAGCCTGGCTGGCCAGCAGGCCTCAGTGGTATGCCCATCTCAGTTCTGCCCCCACCATGCTGGGGTTATAGACATGCATGCCATGCCTAGTATTTTCCCAAGTCCTCAAGCTTGTTAGCATTCTCAGCCACTCTGCTACCTCCTAGGCCCCAATACAAATATGTTTAAAGTTACTAGAATTGCCAATCTTTCTTTCAAAATTAAAGTTATGTATATATGCTAAAATTACATATATGTTAAAGTGTAATGACAGTGAATATCAGTGTTTTTCTAAGAAATGAGAAGTAAGTTTTCCATTAAAATCTTTACCCTACATTGAGTTATCATTATAATCTATGAATTAAAAAGGAACTGGAAATAAGTGGATTATAGGCTAACAAGCTGCCTTGTGGAATGTCTCTTCCTTAGCTGTGTTACTTTTCCTATGGAAACCCACAGGGGAGAGCTCAGTGAGGCACTGCAGTCTGTTTAGAGAAAGTAGTGTAAACACATTAACTACTAGATTGTGAGAATGAACATCCTTTCCTGCTCAAGTGAATTCTCATTGGTATCTCTGAGAAAATTCTGCATGTCTGAGTATACTGGGTAAGATTTGGATGCCCTAACTTAACCACACATTCTGAGAACCAGGAGCAAAAATATAACAAAGCCCACCCAAAGTCATTTGGCTCTTCCACAAATTGGTAAGCAATTAACACTGAGATAAAGGCATGCATATATGTGCATGCGTGCGTGCGCACTCACTCACTCACACACACACATAAGCACACTCACTCACACACACACACACACACACACACACACACACACACACACAGCTGCACTTCGAGGAGGTACTAATATATTCCAAGTTGAAAGAAAGAAATAAGTGTCCTACCTTTTTAAAAATTCCATATATTCGGTATGCTTGATGAGTCCTGTCCTCATCATTATTGTTTGAAAACATTGTCGATCAATGGCCCAGAGTTTCACATTTACAAGAGCTGGAGAAAGAGAAAACAAGCAATCAGTGGAAATTAATTAGAGAATTTCACTTGTGAACAACACCCTGTAAAGCAGATTCTTTATTCATGAGAGGTATGAAAATGATTAACTTTTTTTTCAGAATCAGCAGGTTATAATTACATGCTTATACATAATACATACATTACGTACATACATACATACATGCATACATACACATATGTATAAAAGGTAGCACTGCACTGTGGTCATAGGCCCTCTGCTTTGTCCTTGTCATAGACAAACACTTCTAATCTCTTTAGCTGGGCATCTCTGAGTAGCCCTGGTTGTCCTGGGACTCGAAAATGATTAACCTTTTATATGCATTTAAAGCTCATAGTACTAGCTGTCCTGTTTCATCAACAAGTCAGTTACATCTAGCAGCAACATGTAGTTCCTGGTTTCCTACTGAATATTACTATCTACCAAGAAGGTTCCTACTGCTTTCATGTCCCTGTTCATCATCCATTCAAAAGTACACACTAAAGACTGTGCATGAATGAAATAGCATAAGGTAAAAAGAGGAACCCAAGAAATAATTCTTGCTGGTAACTAACCAGAAAATTATTAATGACTCACATAATAATATTTTAATTATTAAAAAGTACAAGTAGCTGGGCATTGGTGGCTCATGCCTTTAATCCCAGCACTTGGGAGGCTGGGGCAGGTGGATCTCTGTGTCTTTGAAGCCAGTCTGATCTACAAGAGCTAGCTCCAGGACAGCCTCCAAAGTCACAGAGAAACCCTGTCTTGAAAAAAAATTCAAATAAAATAATTAATTTCCACTTTGGGAATTTGATAAAATTGAAATAATAATTACCTAACAATTTCTACATAACACTTGTTTAACAAATAATAACTTGTATACAAACTAGGTAGACATTTTATTAGATATGTTTGCTGAATTTTGATTTCTCTCTTACATCCTCTATCTTGGACAATGTATAATTAAATGTTGAAGCTGAATATCACATAATCATTAAGGCCATGATTAATGGACAATATATTAAAAACAAAATGACAGGTGTTATAAAATATGATACAGCAATTTGTCAAGGCAAACTTATGTAGAAGAAAAAGATGAGCTCAGCAGTTAGGATCACTGAATGCTCATCTAGGGGACCGAGGGTCAAGTCTCAGCACCCACATGGCAGGTCTCAACCATCTGTAACCACAGGTTCAGACATCCAGTGTCCTCTGCTGGCTTCCATAAACAATAGGCATACATGTTGTGCACAGATATACACACACACACACAATCCATATAAAATTTTACATAAATGCATAAATTTTTAAAAAGTTAAAAGATACATATATATTAAAATCTTTGTAAATGAACCTGTGTGGTAAGTATATGCTTACATGGTCTCTACCTTGGTGAATATCTTAACATTTTCCTAATAGAAAAATATGTTGTTAACATGGGTATTAATGCAATATGATGAAAAATACCTTCTACATTCTAAGAGATGGAACTTTTTCTGGACCTCATGGCCAGAGATGATAATATACCTTGAGGTCACATAAGACTGCTGTCCTGCTATGCACTCAGCCTATTTGTTTAATCCACTTGTAAGAGAACAATGTAACAATCAACCCTACTTGCCTTGGATTTTCCATATAATCAGCTTTTGAATGTAAGTTAACGTGTATCTGTAATCTTAAATTATGTACTCTCGTATGCCCCTGACCCAGAATAATGCGTGTGTATCATTTGTTGAAAGCAGTCAATACAGAGACTGAACCCAATCTTCGAAAATGAATATCCACCATAAATGTTCAATGCAACTAGATTTGGATATTGCTTGATAAGCATGTCTATTTGTCATACTAATTGCTATCTGGTCAGTTGAGATTAGTTGGAGCCAGTGACTTAATCATTGTAAAATCTCAGAGATTTCTATAAAGTATCCTATTGTTTCTGTGCTGATTGATAAATACATAGTGAAGTCCTTTTTTAGGGACAGAAGACACAGACATAGGCAGACAGAACACAGACACACACAGACAAAACTGACAAACACAGACAGACAGTCTTCCGGCAAGTACTGATTCAGACTCACAACTGATAGATGAAGGATGGAATACAAAGGGAACATGAAGTAGATAATTCAAATCTGAATTGGCTCTTGGTTAAATGATTTCAAAGGCAAGTGCTTTTTACTTCCTTGTTTAGTGTGACAAAAATTCATCATTAGAGTTAATCACCAATGTGCTTAATCCATGTAAGTATGAACTTGAAAATATAGATGCTCAAAAGCCAGGCTGTGCCTGTGCACTTTTAATCCCTGCACTAAAGAGGCAGAGGCAGGAGGATCTCTGTGAGTTCGAGGACAAAACAAGTTCCAGGAAAGTCAAAGCTACACAGAGAAACCCTGTCTCAAAAAAACCAAAACATAAAAACATAAATAATTATAAAAGAAAATATAGAGATGCAACAGAAATTGGTACTGGGTGAAACCACTGGCTGGGGCAGCAGACAGTTAGTTCAAGTGAACATAGTTAAACTGAGAAAGCAGGGTTAGAAAGGAAGGAATGTCCCCAGCATAGTCAGAAGGCACAGAAGGAGAAGGGACCGAAGCAACATGCTAGGGACAAGAGAGACAGAAGATAAATGGAATGGTGGATTCTAGAGCAAACCCAATTCTGGAATTTTACCTAACTTTCTCGCAAATCTCTTTGAGGCTAAGAAACTGAAATGGAGTTTCTCTCTTGACTAGTTTGTCTGTGGGGGAAAAATAAGTAAAGGAAAAAAAGGAAGAAAGCAGGAAGAAGTCATATAGGTATGGCTTGTTTCCAAATGTCTTTTGAAAGTGTACTTCATCACATAATCATCACAGGTGTTTTCCAGCCAGTCTAGCCCTTCTGATGACAGGCTCATTTACTTAACACAAACCATAAGACTGTATGATATAAAAACAAAGGAGGAGAACATGAGAAAAGAGGACTCGAGAATAGACCCACAAGGGAAATCTTGGAAAATGATGAAGCTTGAGTATAGGCTGGATGGAGTGTACACAGTGATGGAAAAACTGGAACCAACGTCCAGCTAGAAATGAACTATGGAGACCAACACCATCAAACAGCCCTGAATGGCTGAGACTTGTGGCATAGAGTGTGAGCGCATAGAGGGCTCTGAAACATGGGTTTATGAAATGAGAATCCATTTGAGGAATAATGGAAAGCTGTAAGAGATCTTTAAAATTAAAATAGAACTGAAACAAAGTAAATAACCAAAATTTAAAAGAATATGCCTTGGGTACACCAATGTGTTTTAAAATGTTTATGTATAATAAAATAAAAATTTACAAAGTCATCATCATTTTAGCAGTTATTAGGTATGGCACATGTATGTATACCAACCACTTAAGGAAAAATTAGATTGCACCAAACAATGTTACTAATTTGTTACACTTAACATTTTTATTGTTATTGTGTTTATGTGTGTAGGCTGCACATGTAGGAGCATAGAAGTCAAAGGACAACTTGCAAGAGTAAGTTCTTTCCTTCTTCTATGTGGGTCCAAGAGACAGAACTTGGCTCCTTGGGGTTGGCACCAAACACTCCTACACACTGAGCCATCTTGCTGGCCCCGGTGTCACTATTTTTGAAAAGGACTATTAACCAACATAGCTACACAGTTTTCAAACACACATTAGTTGATAACTAGAAATGGAATGACTGAGTGAAGTTCTGCAGGAAGAAAAGACTCATCATTTCCACCCTCTGAGCAGATATGCATGAGGCACCCTCTATAGGCTCTGAGAGCTACAGCCATAGTGACATTGAGAAACACAATCTAAGAGGGATATAGATTAGGAGAGCCCTGAGTCGGGTCTATAGACCAACACGGATGCCAATGAATAACAGCTGATATAGAATCTGTAGGGCGAAGTAGTGATATGAAGAGAGCTCTGGTAAGGAAAGTCATCTTGGTAATTCGCAGGATGCACAGTTCCAGACAAGGAGCGATAAGCATCTAGTGAGGCCACAAGCAACTCGGAAATCAAGAAAGGAAGGCACAATGAGTGTGGCAGCGATAAGCACACAAACAAAGGCTTGGGAATTTGGGCCTGTGTGGAGTATATATCGGTGTATGTGTCCCTGTGGCGACTATGTGACTTAGTGACATATGTAAGCATGTGTGACTGATACTGCATTTATCTCTTGTATGCATATTTCATGTTTCCACAAAAGAAGTATATATTCTTCTAGAGACAAGTTTCTTAGATCTTTCCATTACTCCAACCAGAATAAATGGGTTTTCATAGATAAGCATTAGGCAAACTAAATGAAATGTATTATACACTTGAAGTTCACCTAAAACCATCCTCACATGAGGCTGAAGGCCTACATTATATCACATATTATAATCAAGTCTCCAAACTGAATTTATCAGATTTCACTATCCATATTTTTTTTTAGTGACTTCTGTAAATGAGTTTACAGACTTCAATGATTTGCTTACTTAGGCTACTAAAATGTCCCTAAGTAAAATTTCATTTCAGAGAATATTGTTTCATGATAATGAACATGGGTTGATGAAATAGAAAATTTATCCATGACCTTGAGCAACATACCAAAGCCTTTCTGCACTTTAAACCATTGTATCTTAGTGATGTCGGCATTTTATAGGTAGGTAAGCATGACCTGTCTTATTAAAAATGCAATTTCAGAGTTGTGATTAACATCTTGCTTAAGTCGCCTGCAGGGGTGCAAGTGTGTTGTTACCCTAAAGAAACCATTAAAAGAACTTTCATTTATCTTTGATTGTAAGCATCTTATTAATCTCTACAGGGAATCATCTCCGCATGAATGAAATACCTGAAACTCTCATGATGACTGCAGTCAAACTGTAACAATTCAGGCTATTGCCACTGCTGTTGGTTGCCTGCCAGAAACTGAGGGTAAGATACCACACTTAGAACATAGACCTTTGAGAAATGGGGCAAGAAATTACCTGCAAGCCTCTCCCTGGAGA